TATTGCGGTCATATGACTTTTCTAGCATTAATTCGCGTTTATAGAGGGTGTGCGGATACTTTTGTCCACCCTCTGTAATTAATAACATTATTTAATATAGTTTAAGAACTATTATTAATTTATTTATTGAAAGTGCAATTTTTTTAAATTTTTATAATATTTCTTAACTATCGTCACTTTCTTGTATTTGTGATAGTATAGTATGATCTTCATCAGGTACATATGACGCAGACAATTATGTTTTGAGGAACTCTACCTTTCGCAAGTGCTGATAGTTGTTCAAGTGAGGTAATCGATTACCTTTGGATGAAATATTTTGTGTCATTTATATTATCAAAAGAAAAATAAATTTTTTTGGGAAAAACAAGACGCGTAAAAGAATAAAGAAATAACATTTGTTTTTATGAAAAATGGTTTAATAAAGCTAAAAAAAAAAAAGTCTAATTTAGATTAAATTAAACTATTTTGTGTGTAAACCGATAAAAAAATTACTTGGCACGGTATTACTTATTGTCCAAATTTATAATGATGATCGTCAAATTTAGCCACTACGTGGCAAAAATATCGTTACAAAGCACAATAACTTATAATCAAAGTTACTTTAAAAAAATAAAAATAATTTAATTGTAAGTTATTGTTTTTTTTATCACGTTCAACTAAATGGCAGTAATTAAATTTTTTATTTCACCATATTGATCAGTTACCGATATTAATATTCGAGCTATCTTATTTTTATTATGGCACTAATCGAATAATGATTTGTGTCGTCGAAATGTGAGATATATAAATCTACCTATTTTCAAATCCTACATAAATTGGTTCATAAGATTTAAAATTAATCTAAATTCTTCTATAGAAATTTTTTATAAATTAAGTGAAATCAATTAAGTATACGTACATATATAAAGTTCTTGGGCCAATATTTTTTAAGAAATTTTTTATCAAAATCTAAATCATTCAGGGATTTTTATTATATATCTTTCTTTTTTAAAAAAAAAATTTATTATAAATATATATTAATACACAATGGATGCAAATGAAGTAGATATATCTACAAACTTAAAGTTGAAAATAAAGCTATTTTTGTTTATATAAAAGACACTTTAATTAATAGAATATATTCTCTGACTCAGAAATTTCGAATTCTATTGCTGAAGGAAATGTAAATTTTGATTGATATCCAAAAATATATTTGGATGAAAACAAGCGATAATAATAATAAGTCGAGAATCTTATACAAATAGAAAATTACTTTAGCTCAAACTATATAATATATTAAAATACATTATAAACCTAGTTACAGCTAATATAAATAATAACTACACTTGCGTAAAAAATTAGCGGAGATGGCTCAAGACATGATCTTATGTTATGTATTTGCATTTATAAATAGGTGAGTATATTATCCGGAAATGATCATGAAAATATTTATTTGTAATAAAGTAATTCTAGTGAATGCAGAATCTAAGAAAAAAAAATTATATTATAAATTATGATGATTTTTAAGTATTAGAAATTTAAGAGTACCGAAATTCTTTGGATAATAATTTATTATTATTTAGAAAAGGTCTAATGTTTATTTCGTAAGTAAATAACATCTTTTTGTTAATATAAAGATTGTAATAAATATGATCAATGAAGAAGCGGTTAAATAATCAGCTTTGTCGTATTTGTCATATATGACAAAAGGTAAAGGAATATTTATTGTACTCCTCTGAAAATAAACACAATCTTTTGTTATTGGATACTATTTATTGACTACCCCAGCGTAACCTTCACGAAAATGGCCGGCATTGATTTTCCGATCATAATTAACCGAGATTACTGTTGACAAATAACGGAATGACAAATAGGAGGTTTGTTCAACAAAAAAAAAAAATTCAAAAACTTGGTAAAATGAAAATAAAAAATATGTTACGCAGGAGAAATCGTATTGATTAAACTGCACCAATAATGACCCCAAATCTCGTGACTGCTGAACTGATATATACTTTATTCCTGTTTGATTTAAATTCTGTTTTTAGGATTGGTTTCATATCGCGAAACGTGAATTTTTAATACTTCAATTAGTCTACATTTATGCGTCAATAACGGATTTATTTTTATTTACACAGATGATACAAAAAAAATAAGAACTTTGTATTCCCTTAAGCAAAAAGTACAAGCTGCTAATCATTTTATGCCATCATTGGATTATGACAAGCACAAATTAAATAAAGTGAAATGGCATACAGATTGATTTAGTTGAAACGTTTTCTACCTTGAAGCTGAAAGAAGATAGTAAGTACAATTGGATAATAGAGCAATAAAGGCAGACATTAACTATAGCATTAATAAGATAGAGTGTTAAAAATTTTGTAAGTACCTAAAATGATAGTTCTTTATGATAATTTACTAAAGGATTTATAAAAAGATATTGGCTGATATCACGAAATGAAAATTTCCAATTCAATCCAAGGGCTATTGAAAATTTTGACATTTCGTCACTCACCTTAGAACTGATGAGATTTTAATATGGATGAGACATCGGTCTGGTTTGATCAAACTAAGGGTGAAAAGACTATCCGTAATTGAGCAGGTAATGAAAAGAATCAGTTTACGGTATGTGCTGCAGATGAATTTCGAGAGCTCAAATTTTTATAAATTTATCAAGAGAGAAGTGAGAAATCTTACTATAATTATTATAAATTGTCTTCTATCTGATTTTAAGAAAAAAGGATATTACGGGAAAAGAAAATGGATGGATGATTACTGATCAGGTATGTTGATTATCTTGTAATTCAAGATCTAATAGCGCCCCAGCAATGTTAGTATATGATTTTTAGAGATCTTATGGAAGAATCAGTATAAAACCAAGTTTCGATAAAAACGGGTATGATTTAACGGTAATTCTAAGTGAGTTATCATCTGTCAACCTCTCAATGTTGCGATCAATAAATCATTTAAAGAAATAAACGAAGAGAATAGCATATTTGGATGGCCAGATGTGATGCTGAAACTACTGTTTGCGGGAAACCTTCGTATGCAAAATTGAGTGTTGTTTGTTTGTGGATCAAACGTTTATAGAAAGCAATCTCAGACATCAAGACGATTAAAACATGTAGAAAATTACAGATCGGATGGAAGTGAAGATGATGAAGTTATTGACATTATAAATATCGATAGCAATAATAATTATGAAGGTAACGTTTATGTTAATGGTGTTGAATTTGAGTGAAGGTGGTGATAGCGTTAATATTGATGACGAAGATGGTGATGGCATTGATTTTGATGGTGAAGATAGTGATGACATTGGATGGTATTAATGATGGAATTCATTTACACATAAACAATTTCATCTTTCAAAAATATGGTCGAAATTTTGTTGAAACAAAGAATACATATTTAAAAAAAAGCAGCATCTTCTACAAAAGTTTTTAAAGTTAAGTATTACTCAATTTCAAAATATATGAAATTTTAATAACAATAGTTTGGCAATTATATTTTACTTTTATTATACAACAGTTTTATATTAGCCTTAACGAAATATCAATTTATTTTATATATTTGAGATCAAATGTTAACTACAAATATTGGAGGCATATGGTAGAATGCCATCGTTAAAAAAATTATTTTGTAAAATCATATAGATGATGTAATGTAATTTTTCAAGAACTACCAAACTTTATTATTTTAGATAATTAAACTGGCAACTTAAAAATAAATACTGAAGCGTTTGTCAATGTTGATTAGTAGTTCTTTATTTTATTATATGATTCCTGATATATTTATTAGTTGATAAGTATATAATCATATAATAAAAATGTGTACAATTTTTAAATCTTATATTTTAAATTATAAATATTTAGAATAAATATTTATTTATTTTTTTAATTGCAAATAAAAGTTAAACGTAAAAATAATTATAAAAGAAAAATTCAAAATTAGTAATTTAAAAAAATTAGCAAAATTATTTGCTAGTATAATATTGGTTTTAAATAATTTAGATAAATATCTACAATTTGAAGTTTTCATTAAAATAATAATTTTTGAAATATATCTTAAAATTATTTAATTTACTACTTTATAAAATTTCCAATTCTTCTTGATCTTCTAAATAAAGGTTTAGATTAATATAAACTTCATCTAGTTTAAATTATGTATAATTGATAAAAAGTAAATATTTTATTCCTTATCATTACTTCAATATAAATTTTTATCAATTCTTATTAATTGCATATTATTTGTTAAGTGTTTAATTTAAACATATTAAATAATAATAAATACAAAAATCTAAAATAACTTTTTATATATTGAGTTCTAACTGTAATTAAATGTTTAATAAAACTTATAATCTGAAATAATAAATCTATTTTGTTTATATCATATACTTTATATAAAAAAATAATAACAAATTAATTAAATCTTTAAATATATATCTTTTTATTCTTATATTAATCAAAAATTAAATAAATTTATAAAATAAATTATGAGTATAAAATTGATAAAATCAATATTTTATCTTTAATAGCATTTCTTAATTCAATTAAATTATCAAAAATATGAATTTCACAAAATTACTTACTAATAAATTAAATAAACTAAGCTTATACTAAAGTTTATTATAATATTTATATTATTTATTTCTTAAATTATAAAAATTTTTGAAAATTAAAATTTTTTAAAAATATTTTTTTTAAATTAATTTTGTAAATATATATTATATTATAGTAATTTATTTTAATTTATATAATAAAAAAATCTAAAATTACTTAAAAATTAAAATTTGTAATATTTAAATTATTTATATTAAAAAATTTTATTATTAACCTTTAAAATTTATTTTTAGTAATATTAAATAATAGATTATTATAAAATTTATCATGAAGATTAAATTATTTAAAAACTTCTTAATAAACTTAAATTTTTTTCATAAAATATATATTAAATTATAATTTTCATATAATTATTTTATTATAAAATAAATATTTAATATTTTATTAAAAATTAATATTTTTTTAAGTTAATAGGTAAATTTATCTATTAGACAATTTAAAAAATAATATGAATCTTTAAATTTATGAAAATAATGTAATTAATATATTTGTTTATTTATTATAAAAAGTTACATTTTTTTCTATAATAGATTATTATTCTAATATTATTTTATTAACTTTTTATTTTTAATAAAATATATAATACAATTTTTAGTCTTATTCTATTTATTATTTTCATTGTAAAATTATAATTATAAATAAAATTAGCAAATAGTAATCATCTAAATAAATTTATTTATATAAGTATAATGTTAATATTATAATCATTAAAACTTAAATTTTATAAATATATGATATTTATAAGATTAATAACTTTAACAAAAGCTATATCTGCTTAATATATTTCTATTATTCACTATTAAGAGAATTTATTTTACAAATTAATTTTTATTTATCTAAGAATTATCATTTTGTTTTCTTTATTATAATTCATTTTATTTGTTATTTTTTATTTAAATTCTTTATTAAGTTTTTTTTATTATTTTTATTAATCTTTTTTATTATTATTAAGCCAAATTCTTTTTCTTTATTGTTTTTATATTTTATTATAATTTTCTTTATTTTCTTTCTTAATATAATTACCTATATTTATAAACATAATTATTCCATATTAATTTCATTTTCATTTTTTAATAGTCTTCATATTTATTTTTATTATTTTTTATTATTATTTTCATAATCTTCTTTATTATATTCCTTCTATATCAATATTTTTTATAATTCTTTTTTCCTTTATATTATCTTACTTTATTTTAAAATAAATTTATTTTATTTCCTATTTCTTTTTACTTATTTTTTCTTTTATTATAATTATTACTTTTCTATTCGTAAAATAATCAAATATTAGTTTTTTATAAGTATATAACAACTATATTATTCTTATTATTTGTTTATTTATTTCTTAGTTTAATTTTATTATGCTTTATCTTGATTTATTATTAAGTAAAGGTTTTCATAATTCTATGGATGATAATTATCTAAAGCATAATGAAAAATACTTCCGTTATAGTCAAAACTATGCAATATCTATCTATCTGTTATAAAATTAACCAATCAAAATTTAAGATCAGATATAATATAAACACAAGCTTTTTACTTAATTTTTCATCATGTGAAACTATGTTAACAAATTAACATTATATAAAAAATCAGTATTGTATTAAATTTATTTATTAACTTTTTTCTATTATATATTTAAATAATGCAAATTAATGCTTCAGATATACTACAATTTCTGTTTCTTAATATTTAGTATATCCAAAAAGTACTTATTATTTTATTATTATCTTTAATATATTAAAGAGGTTTTAATATTTTTCTTATATATTTGTATATTAATAAAAGAACAATTTATATTAAAATATATATTACATAGAAATATTATTTTATAAACTATTATTTATAATAAGAATTAAAGCAAACTTAAAGAAATTAGAAATTATAGAAATTAAAAATTATTAAATTTTAATTCTTATATTATATTTATTTCAACTTTTGTTCTATTTTTATTCTTTTTTTTTTCATTTCTTTTATTATTTTAAGTATTTTTTTATGTTTTTTCTTCATCATTTTAAAGTTATTATATATTTTATTTATATTATTATTGTATTATTTTATTTTTATATATTACTTCTTTAGTTTCAATAATTAATTTTTTATTTTTTCACATTTCTTAAGTTTTATATAGTAATTCTTTTTTCTTTTATATTTATATATATTTGTATTTCCTCTTCATTATTTCTACTAATTTTCTTTTTAATAATATAAGTTATACAAATATTTTATAATTTCATCTAATTAGTTTAGGGTTTTAGATTGACCTATTTATATAATCTGAAAATTCAGATCATATTAGTAGATTTTTAGGTTAATATTGATCTATTTATCTAATTCAGATTAATCAATTAAATTATATTATAAATAAGAGATAAAATCTCTTAATAGTTATTAAATTTTAGACAATATTATATTAAAATTATAATAAAAGATATGACAAAATTCTTTTGATATGATGAAAGCTAAACTATTAATACTATATTAAAAATATAGTAAAGAGAATAAAATTATTTTAAGGTAAATATTTATAATTTATATTTATAGATAATATATTATTTATATAACATTTATTTAAAAATAGTAAAAAAAAAAAAAACTAATTAAATAAAGAAAAAAATAAAATTTTATTAAATTTATTATAATCAATTAAAATTCAAAGAATTAAATACAATTTTTTTTATTTATTAATATTCAGTCAATCCTTTATATAATAATTTTTTATATAGTTAATTTTTTTTATAAGTACATTTTATTAAGTTAAAATTAAATAATAAACTTATTAAAAATTCTTTTCTATAATTATATCATATAACATTTTTATAATTATATCAAATTTTTTAGTCTTAAAAATATGACTATATAAGAAGTTAATTGTATAAAAATATAAAAAATAATAAAAATTTATAAAATACTAACTCTTTTTCTATTGCTTTAGCATTTTTTCTATTAAAATAATTGTACTAGTATATTGAATACCATTTTTATTTAAATTAAGTTTAACTATATTATATATAATATATGTTAATCAATATTATATTAAATTTGTATTATTTAAATAATAATATTATATTTAGAATAAATAAAATATTCTTTTTTAATTACACTAATTTTATAAATAAATTCTATAAAAAACTCTAATTGATTTTTAACCTAATATCTTACAATTTCATAATTTTTCTACACAAAATACTATATCTATTTCTGATTATTATTTATATTTACTTTTTAATTAAATACTTTATATTATAGTATTAATTATAATATATAATCTTCTGCAATTTTTATATAACCATTTTCTAAACTATCTCTAACTTTATTATATTTTTTTTTTGTATCTTTAAATCAAGATTTTATTTATATATATATAAATAGTAATTAATAAATTTAAAATTCTTATTTTAATAGATTTTTATTTATCTAATATAGCTACCATTAGTTAAAAAAATATATAATATTAATAGTAAATATTTATATTAAAACTAAATAAATTATTAGCTTAATAAAAGTTATTTAAAATATAATTAATAATGAAAAATATATTTGTAATACCTATTATAATATCTTAATTCTAACTCTTTTTTATTTTTCTTAATAATAAATTATTATAAATATTTTATAAATAAAATTTTTAAAATGCAAAATTTAATTTAGAATACTTTTACTTAATATACTAAAAATAGTTTTATAGACAAAATTTTCAGTTATAAACAGTTTCTTGAAATTTTTTAAAAAAATTCTTTTATTACACAACTTGATCTTTGTTTTAATTTACTAAATTATTAATATTATATCTGATCTTAAATTTTGATTAGATAAAATTAAGGGTATTACAAATAAAATGCATAACATAATATTACAATTAAATTTATTCATTAATAATTAATTTTATCTTTTGATAATAGATTTATTATTTTAAATAATTATTAAGATTCCATTTATATAGCTTTTGATTATATAAAATTATCCTAATTCTTTAAATTTAATTTATTTAAAAATAATAGAGAAAAATTAGATTTATAATTTATATTAATAATAGTTAAAATAAATTCTAAGAATAAAGAATCTAATATTAATTATAATACTATATAAAATTTTAAAATATAATTAAAATTATTTACCTAAACTATTTTTAATTTGATAAAATATCTAAATATTTAGTTTTCATTTTTATTAAAATATTATATAAGTTTACTATTTTTATAAATTTTAATAAAATTTTATTTTGTTCTTAGTTTTGTATATTTTAATAAAAATTTAATAACTAAATTTTTTTTTTATAATTTAGATAACTTTTTAAATCTTTAGATTTTATTTAACAATCTTAAATTTAATTAAATTAATTTTAAAAAAAAATTAAGTTATATGATAAAACTTAAAATAAAATTAATATAATTTAATTGAGTTTAAATTTAAATAAATTAGAATAATGATACTTATTCTTAACAACTAATTAGTATTTTAAATTTATATTAAATAATATTATAATTAGTTATAATTAGTAATTTAAAAATCTTTTTCACTAGTTGAAATTAAAAAATCAGACATAAATAAATTAGCCTAAAATCAAATTAAAATTGGTAAATCATTAAAAATTGGCTTAGTTGATTAGTATACATCAAGAATTAGCTAAATTTAACCTATCTTATTTATAGCTAATTGATATTTAATTGATATCTGATTGATATACATTAAAAATTAACTAAAATATATCAAGATAAAATAAAATAAGAGGAAATATAATAGTTATTATTTATTTTATAGAATTAATAGCTAAGTTAATTCTTCAAAAAATTCAGTTTAGTCTAAATTATATATTTAAAATAATAATTTTGAATCATTTCAAATAAATAATATTTATTTTATTTATTTGAAATGATTTTTTTATAATTTTTTTATAATGATGCTTTATTATTTTAAGAGAATAATAACTTTGGATTATTCATTTAAGTGAATTTTTTATCATTTTAAAAAATAATATTTTTATAATTCTTAAAAAATGATTCTTTTATTATTCCTAAAAAGTAATTCCTTTATCATTTCTAAAAAATGATTCTTTTATTATTTCAAAGGAATATTATTTTTATTATTCCTAAAAAATAATTCTTTTATTATTATAAAAAAACAATATTTTATTATTTCTTAGAAATGATAAAATATTGTTTCATAAAGAATAATTCTTTTATTGTTACTAAAATTAATACTTTTTATTATTATTTAATTTGAAATGATTATATTATTCTAATTGAATAATAATATAAAAATCATTTAATTAAAATAATTATATTATTCTAACTGAATAATAAAATAAAATTGTTCAATTAAAATGATTTTATATTTTGATAACTAAAAATTGTTCAATTTGAATATAAATAAAGGATAAAACCTTTTAATAACAGTTAAAACTTAGATAAAACTATATTAAAATTATAATAAGAGATATGATAAAATCCTTTTGATATGTGAAAGCTAAAACTGTTAAAATATATTAAAAATATAGAAAAAGGTATAATGAAATTATTTTGAGAAGGTTTAATAGGTATTTATAATTTAAATAATTATATTATTTAATTGAATAACAACTAAATATCATTTAATTAAAATAATTATATTATTTTAATCAAATAATAAGTATAAAACAATTTAATTAGAATAATTATTTTATATTAATTAAATAATAATTAAAAATTGTTTGATTAAAATAATTATATTATTCTAATTGAATGATAATTAAAATTATTTGATTATAATGATTATATCATTTTAAATCAAATAATAAAATAAAAATTATTTAATTAGAATAATTATATTATTTTAAATTAAATAATAATTAAAAAATAATTTGATTAGAATAATTATTTTATTCTAACTAAATAATAAAAAAAAAATCATTCAATTAGAATAATTATATCATTAAATAATCAATAAAATTGTTTAATTAAAATAATTATATCATTTCAACTAAATGGATTGATGGCTAAGAAAATCAGGTTTCAAAAATTTTTTAATAAAATTGAGATTTTTATTATATTTTAGTTTTTGATGTTATTAGATTAAAATGCATTAAGCTCTTAATTTTAATTAAAAGTTTCTCAGAATCTGATTTCTTAAAAATCCTCCTAAATGATAAAATAAAAATTATTTAATTGAAAAGATTATATTATTTCAAATTTAACAATAACTAAAAAATTATTTGATTAGAACAATTATATCATTTTAAATTGAATAATAAATAAAATTTTTTAATTTAAATGATTATATAATTCTAATTGAACAATAAGTATAAAATCATTCAATTTAAATGATAAAATTATTTAATTAGAATATTCAATCGAATAATAATATAAAATCATTCAATTAGAATAATAAAAAATTTATTTAATTAGAATGATTATATTATTCTATTAAACAATAAATAAAATATAATTTTATTGTTAATGTTATAATAAATTATTTTGATAAATAATTTTGATTTACTTTAAATCTTATA